CTGTGGAGATGGGATGAGAGCATCTCCAATGAAACATTGTTCATTTTATGTTGAATGGCTTGGAGAAAAGAAATAAAAAAATTATTACTCCAATAGTTAGTGTGAATTGTGGTGTCATTTGTGATGTGTAAAACCATAATTGGGTGAAAAAGAGAGAAAAATGAATAAACAATATATAATCAATAGTAGAGGTATTCTAGAATGACTTCTATATCTAGAAGGCCTTCTAGACATTTTTCATGCCATATAGGATTGTTTGTGCCATGTGGCAATAAAATAACACAATAGAAGGACCATCGGAGATGCTCTGATGGAGATGGAGGAAATCTTTTTTTTTTTTTTAATTTTGTTGGTAGGTTAAAATATTTAATAAGGGTAAATTTGTCATTTTAACTCTTAAAATGGCTACTTTTCATTTTTTCTACAAACATGGCTAGAATTCATTTTTTTCTTCTGGCTAAAACAACGGGGCTCCGTACATTTATTTTATTTTGTCAAATAACAACTTAAGGCACCCGCAATGGGTGTTAAATTACCCCCGTTTAAATGCCAACTTGGCGTTAACACCATTGTGGGCGTTCATTCTTTTAGTAGGGCCCAGGCTTGCGTTCAATCTTACTTTTTTTTTTGTTTTAAATCAATTTTATATTAGTTTCATTTTTTTACATTAATTCATTTTTTATTTATATCACACTTCCCAATATTTTTTTTTTTCGAAACGGCAGAAATACTCATAACTAAAATAACGTCTTACAAACCGAAAGGCTAAAGAGCCCCATTACAAATCCCAGCAAAGGAGGAACACCACAACCGGTGCCCTAGAATCACAACTACCGAATAATAATAAGAATAAAAGGCAAGTCCAAGAACTTGAAACCCATATTCTATCAATCTACCCACAATCCCATCACAACANAGAGAACTGAACATAAAGGACCTAGTTTGCTTCTTCTCCTTGCTATCAACCTTCATTTTGTTCTGCATGATAAGAACTCAGACCATTCTCTCCAAGCATTTCGAAGTATAATGGTCTCCGGCAGCCATTCCTTTTGAAACAACCACAAGTTCCGAGCATTCCAAAGCCACCAAAGGATATACGTGGATAATTGGATACGGGCTTCCGAAGTCTCTGATTTATCCAGGTCTGTAATTTGCCACCACCATTCTCTAAATGTTCCCGTTTTCTGCTGACAGAAATCCCATTCTAATGTCGAGTGTTCCCAAACCTTCTTAGCCCTAGTGCAATGGAGCAGAACATGTTCTATGCTCTCTTTTACTTCCCCGCAGCTGTAGCATATCCAATCCACATCCATACCTCTTTTCTTGAGATTATTTGCAACAGGCAAGGTATCAGAGAATCCTCTCCACACAAAATGTTTAAGCTTGCCTTTCATATTTAAATTCCAACATCTCAGTCGAGCTGCTTTATCTTTATTTTTTGATGTGCTGCTTTCTGGTCTATCCAACTTCAAGATCTTTTTCCACACAGCTAAAGAGTAAGCAGATTTAACAGAAAAAATTCCTTTGTCATCCATACTCCACACCCATTTGTCTGTCTTTGAGGGATCAATGCTTCTGATTTTGAGTATTTGAGCCACCATTGTTTCATCAAAAGCTTCTCTGAGGAGTTCTATGTTCCAGTGTCTTCCTCCCTCTTCCAGTAATTCAGAGACTAAATTGAGTTGGTGAGTACAGTTTGCCTTAAGATTGGGAACTCCATTCTTTGTATCCTGTAACCATGGGTCTTTTAGGATTCTGGTGCTGAGACCATTCCTGATTTCCTTTCTGAAACAATGCTGATAGGAATTTTTTACATCCACCCAACAGCCCCACATCCAAGAGGAACCTTGTGTCTTTTTAGCTTCCAGAATAGAACCCTTGGGAAAATATCTCTCTTTCAGGATTTTTGAAACCAGCAAATTGGGCTTGGTAAGTACTCTCCAAATTTGCTTGAGAAGAAGGGCTTGATTGAATAACTGAATATCTTGAAATCCCAAGCCACCCCAGTCTTTTGGAGTAGTAACCCAATTCCAGGCTTTCCAATGGATACCTGATTTGTTCACATCTCCAGTACTCCACCAGAAATTAGCACACAATTTGGCAATCTCCCTACAAGTTCCTTTTGGCAGAGAAAAGACTGACATTATGAAAACAGGAATAGCATTTATAACAGCCTTTAGCATTACCTCTCTCCCTGCAGTGGATAGAAAAGAATTCTTCCAACTTTGTAGCCTTTTTCTAACAGCAACCAGGACACACTCAAATGCCTCCTTTTTGGATTTCCCAATCCCCAATGGTATCCCAAGATATCTAGATGATTTATGCACAGTAATCCCATGTAGCATGCTGCAAATTTGCTGTTGTTTGGAGTTGGAGGTGTTTCTGCTGAAAAATACAGTGGACTTCTCCAAATTCACACACTGACCTGTGAACTTCTGGTATTTGAGCAGTACATTCAGAATTATATGACTTTGCTGACAAGAAGCCTCACAAAAAAACAACAGATCATCTGCAAACAAAAGGTGTGTGATAGCTATACCATTCCTGGAGATTTTCAGCCCTTTGAAGTGGCCTCTATTCACCTCTGCTGCAATCAGCTTTGATAGCATTTCAGAAACAAGGATAAACAGGTAGGGTGAAAGGGGATCCCCCTGTCTGATACCCCTTCAAGGATTCACAAATCCACATACATCACCATTTAGATTAAAAGAGAATGCGGTTGAAGAAATACAAGCTGAAATCCATTTAATAAAAGCTTTGTCAAACCCCATCTGCAAAAGGATTTTAATGATGTTGTTCCACTCGAGTCTATCATAAGCCTTCATCATATCCAATTTGACTGCCATAAAACACTTGCTCCCAGATCTATGCATGTTTAAAAAATGTATAGCTTCTTGGGCAATGATAACATTATCCATGAGTTGTCTATCTGGAATAAAAGCATTTTGATACTCACTGATGCAACAAGTCAAACAACTTTTTAATCTAGCAGTCAACACCTTGGAAATGATTTTATATGAAATCGCACATAAACTGATGGGTCTGAATTGGCTGAGAGAAGTAGGATTAGTGCATTTTGGAATGAGGGTAATAATAGTATGATTCCAGCTCCTTAATAACATGCCAGATTGAAAAAAACTCACCACAGCATTGCATAGATCTTCCTTAATTATGGG